CGATAGCTTCACAGTTCTGTGCTATAACCTGTTGTGCCACCAGGGAGAGCCTGGTTCCTGCTTCTATGAATCATCTTTGTACATCTTCACATACTTTCCTATTACAAGTTTCCTATTTTCTAACTCTGTTGGTATCTATCATTCAAATGACTTTCCAGCTTGATACAGATTGGTGTTAGAAGTGAGCGTGCCACAAGACCACAGACCCTAAACTGGGTAGGTTGAAAGAGATAGTGGTAAACTGCAGGTGAAAATACCCTGTGATACCAGGTACTGTGATACCAGATCCATTAATATTTTAGCACAGGGAACTGTAAACTGTGGATGAAAAATAGGAAATTGTTGCAATGAAATATGTCCATTACCAAGTGGCATATGGGTTGAAAAAACATCATATGTAAATGGACAGATTAAAAAAAAAGTTTATCTTTTACTAATTTATGCATATAAAAAAATTGGGAGGTTGGGGGAGAGGGCGGATGGAGGAAGGCAAGAGGATTCTCCAGAGACAAAGTGGAGAGCAGAACAGGTGGATCTACTGAAATACACTGCTGAGAAGAGAAGTGGGAAAGACAGGAGCAACCTGCAGTATCATGTGGGTCATGATACTCCCTGGCCAGGGATTGAACTCAGGCTGCAGTGGCTATAGATAGCTTGATAGTGATATTGTTTGTGGAGTTGGTAGTTTTCAAGTGCAGTGTCCTTGGGTTTACTCTGGGGAAGTTTTCTCCAGAGCTCCCCTTTCAGCAGCTCGAGGTGAGATTCTCCATGACAGAGATATATCTAAAAGAACAGGTTTATTAGGGAAAGGGACAGAAGAGGGAGGAGATACTTGTATAGACATAAGTGAGCAGGAAGAGATGCTCTAAAAGGGACAGGTTTGCTAAGAAAGAGACCTGCATGGGTGCAGGTGGGTGGCCTTGAGGAGAACTGCCTCTGCTGAAGGAGGTCAGTGAAGAGCAGAACCTTCATAGGCACAGGTGGACAGAGAGACTGCTGCCCTTCTTTGGGGGCACTGCTGTGTTTTATCATCTTCTTTTGGTAGGGAGGGGCTCATCTTCTTGAGTGGATGGTTTGTTCTTAATCCCCATATCTTCATTTTGAAGTGACACTCCCTGTTTCAATTTGACACCTGTGTGGTGTTGTAGGTCTTGATTTTCCTAACTTGATTAATGGCTTATGCGAATCCCTTTTACCACTACCTCGTGTAAAAAGGTTCTTGACCTTGTGGTATCCCGTTCAGCCTTTCTATTCCTACCCTCCATCATCAGCGCGGAGACCTTAACCCCTTTGCCTCCAAGGAGGTCCCTGTAAATGGACAGATCTAAAATTTCCCAGTTTCTTCTGTTAGCTCTGGTTAGGGGACCATGCTTATGCTCAGAAATGGCGTGGTTAATGCCTATTATCTATAGACAAATGGGTTAGTAATGGTTCTCTTCACTCTTAGAAGTTTGTGTTTGGGCAATGAATTATATGATCACTCTAACCCTACCTAAAGTGGTAGAGGCCTCCAACACTTTAGAAAACTATTGGATCAAGAGCCCAACTTATAAGGGGGAATAAGACAAACTCTGGGATCTTAAGAGATATGTCAGTGGGCTCAAGAATCTCTTTAAGTTAACATTAGCCTTGCCAGTTAGCAAATCAAACAGATATGTTGCAATAATACATTTGATAAGCTGGAGAGACTGGAGCTAGGAGATGCTTTCTTCTCACTAACTTTGCTCTCTAAAAAGATAAGGCAGATTACAGAGAGGGAACTTAGCTCTAAAATGGCTTTTAAACTGTACTATTTTTAAACATGTTTTAGCCAGCTTTGTTGCTCTTACAGATAAATCTTGAAAAGCTGTGCCATTGGCACTTGGGATTGTCAAAGGAAGAAGGCTCTTTAAAATAGGAATCATAATGACTGTTGACTTAGCAGATGCCTTCCCAAGAGACAACAAAAAATACCTAATTGAGCTTTTAAGCTTATTGGTAAAGAATTTCTTGGTAATTTTCATTAGAAAATTTCATTGTTAACTCAATTTATGTATAAAAATTACTTGAGCATTTTCCATATGAATCCTTTCACTGATTATATCTTTATGAATTTAGTTGACAGTTATGTTCTATCACTTCCATGGTGGTGCAAGGTCTCAAACTCTATTGAATTAAAATGGGTTAAGACTAGGGTATGGTGGGCCCTCCCTGGTGGCGCAGCGGGTTAAAGCACTGCACTAAGAGGCTAAAGCCACTTCCGCAAGAGTTCGATCCCCGCCTGCCCCGGAGGCGACCACATGGCGACCACATGGCGAGGCAGACCTCTCCAGACCCGCCCGCTGCTCCCCTCAGCAGTGTACTTCGT